GTGAGGCTGTGTAAAAGTTTTCTTAGTGCTGTCGGTGCAAACTTTTGTTTCTTGTCGTGCTTAACTGTTTTTATAGAGAAGTGGAACCTTGACACCTGAAGGAATCAACTTGGTGTATGAGCTCTCAGTTCACTTTAAGTAAACCAGACTGGTTATCTATATTTGTCATTCAGCAACTATACTTAACCGCCAAACCACGCAGTGCTTTGTGATTTTCGACCGTTTTAACTGTCACAAGAAACGTAAACTTGAGGGTCGAACTTTTCTAAGAACTTTTTTTTGACTGAGACACAATCACGATATTCAATGTGAGACCAATACGATTGAAATGAATCCACAAACGTAATCTTAATCATGCACCTCATGCATCTCATGGCCATATTCACCGACTAGGCTGATTTAGTACATCAGTAGAAAAGTATCTGTTGGCTGAGAGCACGATCCTTTATTGAATAGACAGGTATCGCGAACTATCTCGCAATGCGTGAAGATGACTGCAATGATTTTCGGATAATTCCTAGAAAATAAACCAGTGGATTGTTGGTAGTGTGAGGAGCTTTGGGAGTCTTCAATGAGGAGTTCAATCTTCAGGTTAATTCGCCAGCACTGAAAAGCCGGAATGACTGTACAGCTGTTTCATCCTTATTGGAAGTGATCCCGAAGCCTCGGGGAATTTTGAGCGAGCTATCCACCACTTTCTACGTACGAGTGATTCAAACCGTTGATTAGCCGCTCGTGGCCAAATAGGTTAAGAATACTGGTCAAAGGCTCATAAAAAGGTGCGCGTTGCTGATAATTCCCAATAAGGAATAAACAGCCACATGGTACTCTTTAGCACAGACTGGTTTCACTTAAAGGGATGAAATTTCCACTGTTAGTCCACAAATCTCCTTACCATACCAACAGTCCGTAAGTAGCTCATAGGGATAACAATTCATATCACGAGAGAAAATTTCCGTCTGAGAAGCTCTGAGTCGAGGGTCCTATCAACACGTGGTCCTGTGACGTGGGTCCTATCTGAGTACGACTTAATCACACTGCTGCTCAGCAACATGTGGCTCGACCCGCCACCTCTTGGCTGCACTACCAGTTAGGAGGCTGTGGGTTCGAGGTTGTCTGCAGTTTGTGGGATGCGTACTGTTGATTATTCCCAATGAGAATGTAACTGCTACATCTCACTTCTCGGCTTTTCCGAATAGCCTGACTTACTTATAAGGCGAAATCTCACTGAAAATCAGCAACTTGTCAAGCTTTGGTTTAAGATTTTCGCAGGGAAAACTTATAACGGAGGCTGTCACAAACCAATAGCACATTGCTTTTTGTGTATTTTGAACGCATCCACAGTTCTCTTCAGAGAGTCAAGTAATAATTCCTTATAAATACTATTACCATTCGTTTTCAGGATACTACACACGATTTGTTGGGTTTATGTTTTGGTTAGGGTAATATTTTAGTGACACTCGTGCAGTAAATCATTTACCATTTTAATGCTAACTATGATCATGAAATTCCGGGCGTTAAAAAACGACTTGACCGATCATGCTGCCATGCGAATGTCGACTTAAGACTCAGCATCTGTCTTCCTTGGTTGTTTGTCACGGTGTCACTTTGGAAACGCCTACAAGTGAATTGACTATCCTTCCTTCCATATATTAGTAAGTGAGTGATAGTCGTTAAGTCAAACAAATACAAAGGATCGAATCTTCATCGCACAACTCCTTGTGCAACAAATTCAAGTCTGTGACTTAATTTCAACAGTTGGTCGCGAAGTGAAACAAGAGTAATTTCATTGGAAATCCATCTGGATGATTTCTATGCCTATGAACGCAAACAGAAGCTGCGACGCTGGAATCTATGTGTGCTCAGAATTCCGACGCCTATGTGAACGTCAATTTTAGTCGGTTTTGTTTTATTGGGATTTGTCTGTCGAAAGCTGGATGGGTAGTATAGAAGTGTACGTGATTTCTTGTGAAGATTTATAATAACTTCTGATGATGGGAAATTTTGTGATTAATCTATCACTTACGTGTGGCTTACCGTTTAACGGCAAACTATGCAAATTTATGCATTCTCTAAATGTGCGAAACCACTACTATCTAAAAAAACGTCGCTTCAAAATTACTTTGAATTCAAGAGTCGAACAAGTGAGGGGAAGTATGACGCGTTTTTCACTGCTTCCGCTGTGTTGTCTTCAGAAAATAGCCTACAAAGTGTCATTTGCTTTCATTTATTTTCATGGCCCCTGAAGACTGTAAGCAATGCCTACTGTATTAATCTTTCCTCAATGAATCACCTAATCACCTTCAGCCTCACTTTTACCGGTTTTTTTGTGACAAATGTATAGTTCATAATGCCAGTACGATGTGGATTTGTCAGTAACTAAGGATCATCCATTTCATCGACCGGACGGCCTTAAGCTTAGTCGCTGGTGTCATACTACTTGTTTTTCGGCGTCCAAGTCCGATCAAAAAACACTTAACCTCATAGAAGATTAGGCTTTCCTTTAGGTGTGAACTAGATCAAAATGGTTTTTTAAACATTCCTCTGGGTACACTGAACTTCAATCTGAATCCACACTATATAAAACATGACTAAGAAGACCATTGAGTGCGCTTTGGATACTCAAAGATTGCCGTTTTACTTGGCCCGTGTGGAAATTTAATGCATGCTCTTCAGTTAGTGTTTGTACGTTGATCCCAAGTTTTCCTCCGGATTAAATTGTTACAGTAAGTTGCAAAAGATTTTGGTCAAATTGGTCCAACGATTCATTTTTTTCTTGTCTTCTACTACAAAGGAATGTTCCGCTACCCTCTGGACAGGTTTTGGAATCTGCCTAAAAAGCTGGCCAATTTTAAGTGGTTTTCCGAGACAGAACGCCATTTATCGCAACATTTTTGGCACTAGATGCAACCAGTCACATGGCATGGGTTGTGTTGTCGCGATACGAATAGCTCTGGATGGGTTGACTTAGAAATCCTATTCCAACTACTTTCTGGGTGTCTTCTATTTGTAATGAGCACGATATTTCCACCAACCCAAAAAATATGGACATTTTCCAAAACCAGTCTTTTTTTCCATAAATCGAGAGACAACTCACGACTGGTTTCGCCCTTCTTAGGGCTCATCATTTAGGCGCAGTCCCCGAGTTTCCGTCAATCTTAAGTTCTACTTGAACTAATTTAGTGAATTACGTGGACTGCCGTTAACCAACGAGCTTCCATTTCACAAACTATCAAGAGAAAGACCCCCAGAAGCACACGAAGTAAATTCAATACCTACAATCAGATAGAGCTACCTCGCCTCGGCAAAATATGAATCTTACACACCATCACTACGAAGTGTTTGGTCCGATATTTACAGATGGACCTTTTGGATACTTCATAAAGAATGTTGGCCAAGATTCCTACTCTGTTGATTGTTCCGATGGCCGGTATCAAGATTTCTCGCGATCGATGTGTGAATTTCGGTTTGATGTCTGACCCTTGAGATTTGGTTCTGACGTCAACCGAGCCAGTAGATTTTAGTTATATTCGGGCGCTGGAGATAAAGTACATCTGCCCGTCCTGTGGCTGTGTCACTTAGTGCTTAATCACAGTCACTGATGAACTAAAAGTACGGTTAAACTTATCAGCTTCCTATACTATACTTCCATTTTCCCCAACGAAGCAGTCAACGTGACAAGTTGCTGAGGGTCTAATCAACTTCCCCCCGACTGGTTTTCGGTCAGTACTGATAATCTTCTGCTTCTGAAAAACAAAATCTTTATCAGACCACGTTTTCATGCCATTGGTTCAAGGCCGGGAATCTGCTAATATCGACCACTCCAGATAGTCTCGTAACAAATAAACGCCATAAGCTTTCGTTCGTCCAAGTAAATCCAAAAATGGTTAACTGCGATTTAGCTCCCACGTGTAGATCGCACGAAAGTCGAACTGACGAAAATTGTTTGAAAACTTCCGTCGTCGGCGATAGCAGGAGTGTCGTTAGCATACCGATTATACAACGAAGTGTGAGATGTAATTCCGGTTACCTGCCGTCTCGAGCAATCCCATCAATCTGTCTATGGCCTTCACATTCGAACTCAAATCATGCTCTCAACACATGGGACAATTAAGTCTCAGGACGTTTTACGTTAGTTTTGTTCGACAAAACAAAGTCATACGGAAATGCTCCATGAAGTGGTACGTTAGTACGTAGAGATTGTACATCACTTTCCTACATAATCCTATTTGTTCTACGTCCATGACAACGGAGAAATTGTTGAAATACTGTGATATTGTCTTTCCTATTGCTTGACAAAGTTTATCGAAGGCCATCCAGAACGCAGTATGAATCGCTCATTCTGAATTTTAATGGTGGATGGATTCCTAATATAAAGCATGATGCGCTACGCCATCCTTGTACGAGTTGAGATTTGTGGTTGGTGATTTCTTTTGTAGTGAGCCATCTCATACGACTGTATCTGCGTAAAGAAGCTGACACGCACATTATTCCTCATAAAACTCAGTCAAATCAATCTAGAAGGGACTGATTAATTAGGGGAAGTTTCTTCGCCAAAGTTCTTTACTCCTGTCATTCTACGGATAACTTATAGCTTGATTTCCCAGACAGCTAATCAGCATTCGCCAGTTCTAGTCAGGTTTGCGCTTTGCTGCAAGAAGTACACAGGCCTAGAGAACTCTTTACCGTGTTTCTGTAGAGGACTACGGAATGGGACATCGGAATTTGGTCATTTCATCTTGTTCCCTCTGTCGTTTTCTCCCATAGCGTTTTTGTAAAGGCCTGGTGACGACCCTGAGTTTTGTAACACAAATTATTGTCCGAACCAGTCCAAATCGAACTATCACCACGAGTAGCCATAACGAGACGGAATGGCGGCCCAGCGCAATACTGCCCTCTGCATGGTTCGGTAGTTGCACATCTGCTGCGAGTTGGACGGCCAATCAAATCACTCCGATCGATTGACCGTGTGTTGTTTGTAGTTGTAGGAGCAACCAGCTGATTGGTCTGACACCTTACGGAATCGCTTGGCCTCGAAGGTCGCTTTCGCGATTCCATTTAAACGGCAATAAACGGAGCCCCGTGGCACCACAACAGAGGTTGCATCATGTTAAGACAAACGTGCTTATTGTTGATTGTTTTCGGTAGTTCTGGACTCCCATGGGATGAATTAAGTCGCTTGCAACCACAGTGTGGCCCGTTTCCAATTTCGGAAAGATTGGATTGTTATCCTGAGGAGGGGGCTAATAAGGATGCATGTATTAACAAAGGCTGTTGCTGGAGTGCGATTGATTTCACTGAGCCTCATATCCCGATGTGTTACTTTCCAAAGGATTACAGAACGTATACTGTAAGAAATGTCACTCAAAACCCAAGGGGCTTTGTTGCGGATATGGAGAAGATTGCGTCACCGTATGGTGTAAATGAATTCCAAAATGTTCGGGTTGAAGTGATCCACGAAACAAAGACTCGCTTACGTGTGCGGTTTACGATCCCATCTGATCCAAATCGCTGGGAACCGCCAATCCCACTTGGAAAGCCTGATGTGGATGCCCCAGAACCGACAGACTACGCTGTGGAACTGGAAAAATCACCGTTTGGTATTCGGGTGAGCTGCAATTTTTATACATAACACGTATCGAGCATGCAGTTATTCTGCTTCTAAAAATTTGTTTTTGGTGGCTTTTCCCTTTCAAAATGGGTAAAATAACATGATAAAATATACTCCTTTGATAGATTTCAGTGTCTACATCATAGTGAAATATACTCATTTCAAATTAGATTCACGGGAGACTGTCCAATCCCTGCTCAACCTCACGTTTAGGATACTCTTAAATTGAATGAACTACGCAAAGTTCGCCTCATGTTTTATTCGAAATGATATCCTTGATGCTCTAGTGGATAATACCATCTATGATGCTGCTGTATACGCAGTTATCCCTAGCGTTTTCACCCATCTAGGGGCTCATTAGGTTGGTGAATACGTCAGTTGAGCTTCTGGCTGATGACCGTTTTCTAATGAAGTAAGTTGGCAACAGCATACTATTTAAAAACTTGGCAACTGTGCCTAACCGATGATCCTTAAGAAGGCCTAAACCCCTATAGGAGTTGAGAAGTGTCTTGGGTAACTTTATGAGTCAAGAATGTATGACTCACTTGCTTTTGCCATCCGACGGATCCTTACGTGATAGAAAACGTCTAAACTTGTTGGATGACCACATCTATCAAACAAAATGAACTTAAGTCGCAAAGATAATTTCATTCGAAGCTTTTCTGTCATACAGACATATCCACACAATTGAACGCGCTCCGGCAGTCAAATTTTGTGATTTAGGGATCGCACACTACAGTTAGTAAGCTCACGAAACCAATCAAGGCCAGAATATGTCAGATTAACCAGAATATCTCACAGAATGAAGATTTGAAATGTCTTTGAGCCGGCTGAATGCATACTGCCTTCATGTAAGAGTGAACTATTTTGTATACAAATCCTTGTTTCAGAGAACGATTTCCTATAGTCTCAACTTCTCCACTTGTGTACACTCTCATTGGTGTCCCTCTTAAGGGAGAACACTCGGATGAAAAGTCGGTTTACGATCTGGGTAAAATTAGCGGCAATGTGACCTTCAACCAACTGAATGGGTATGACAGTTGCAAGGTTTGAGGTGATTTAGACTGAGTAACGAAAGTGACATCCTTAACTGAACAACCTTTTCTTGTGAGCGTCAAGATACATCCGGCAACAACGAGTTTTACTGACGTTTCAGCTCTTCTGTCGTTCGGGTTTTTTGGGTTAAGAAATTGACCTAACAAAACTGTTCATTGCACTTTGTTTAAACGTTAGTAAAAAGCTAACGCTTCGAAATTCTTGCATTTGTGATTGTTACGCTCGCTCTTATAAGCCGCATATCTGGAGTAATTAGTTGTAGATAGCTGTGTGGGTTGCAAAATTTGCGTTCGCACCACTCCATTCGCGGTGCGTCTAATCTGACAAATCTACCCAGAAGCGTAGAGTAGACTTCACCTCTACTAGAGCACCCAAATTTTGCATATCCTCAAGTTGAGCCCCGGACACCTGACATGCAAGACGAGCGTAGAACCCCTTTTTACCACTGCATTCTGGATGGATATGAATCATTGCGTCTAAAAAGCCGGAAGTGTTTGCGCTTCAGTGATGCGATTAGTTAGTCTGGCGGCTCGGAAGACGACTCACTAACTGTCCTCCTTTTGCCGATTGATTTACTCGACTATCAGGAATTGCCAGTCAGGTTGTCTCAAGAGCACCTGAAACCTACTGGGCAGTCTTTTTTATCAGCTTTGGGACAGAAATATTCAAAAGCGAATGATGTGAATGGGAAGCAGTGAAATTGTCAGTCAAGATCAGTCGTCAGAAGACTGAATATCAACTAATGATATTCTCTTAGTTTGTGCGATTTATTGTGAAATTGGAAAGAAAAGCTCTAGAGTTTCAGACTTCGCATCTTTAACCCTCAGATTTAGGTTTTGCTTGAACCAGTTAACAAAAACACTGAAACGGGCGAACCCGGCTGAAAAGTTATCAATTAGGCGGTTATTAATAAGGCCAAATACCTGCACGCGGTGACACGCAACTGGCTCTATCAAGGTGTCCGTCACACCAGTGAAACGGAGTTGAAACGCTCCGAAAGTACGGATGGGGAAATACTCAGCCTTGGTTGAACTGGTCTGTTCGTTGGATTTAATTAGGCTTAACAAGTTTCGCTCATCTTCAGAGAGAAATCTTAACAGTTCTTTGGGTAATTCTACGAAGGAGCCACCATACATCCAGGTTTTACGCCAAACGCATTTTGGCTCATACCAACCTGTGGAAATACAGCTCTTCTGTTTCATCTCGACAAAAGCCCAAGTGGTGCACCATGCTATTTTCGTCAGACAATGTCTATATGATGTCGGTAATTGTAAGTCAGACACAACGTCAAGCAACACATTAATCTCCAAAGAACTTAGTGAATAATTTTCAATAGTGCCTGAGGCACTGAACCAAACGGAAAGACGATATCAGATCGTGATGAAAAATTTTGTACATACGTAGCACGCTACTCGCAAGGTTGCTGAAAACTCTACAACAGCCCACGACTTCTTCCGGGATTTTTCGGGCTCATCAGGTAGGCGCAATCCCCAAATTTCCGTCAACCCTATGCTCTACACTCATTTGCCTACCAATTTGGTTCTGACGGGAGACTCACCTGGAGCCCAGCTGATCCCCTTGTCTACGATATTCTGGGCTGTTCATGAATTTTGCAACAACAGGTCAGAACCCAATCGGTATGCAAATAGTAATTGTCAAAATCTGTCCAACTTGGGTTCAAGTACAATATAAGGTTGACGGGGACTGTACCTACCTGATGAGCTCCAAGAAGGGCAAAACAAGTCGTGCGCTGTGGAAGAGCTTTCAACAACCTCATGAGCAATTTATTATGTTCATACATGTATCGCGATGTCTCAAGTATCGTTAGATTGCATGGAAAGTGTATAACTACAAGATGGTGATAGGGACTTTCCAGTTCAAAGGAAAGGCGCTATGATTTATAGGCACCTTGTGGTCTTCCCATCTACTCTATGAAGTGTCTGTGCTTGCAGTGACTGTGCCGAAACGGGCACTCAGTATTCGCTAATGGGCCCCGCCGAAATCACCAAGAAGCCAAACCATTTAGAAAGTAGCAAATGTAAAGTACTCTTATGGCGCGATGGCGTGCGCTGGAAGCGTTCCAAATATTGCATTGGTTTGTTTCGTGAATGTGCAATCGTTTCAGATGTTCCAAAGCAAGTGTCGTCGAATTCAATGACAAAAAGTTCGGCGACACAGGTGTGTTTCGTTCTCCTGTTGCTCGTCTCCCGCGGTAACTGTATTCCACCCGATTTCCAGAGAAAAATGACGACTTCGAAATGCATGTTTTTTGCATCAGTTAGTTTTTCCCTAGAATGTACAGGAGAAAGCTGGATAAAAGCGAGTGTTGTCTGAGGTAAAGAGTGAAAGCGCGGTTTTTGCTCGCTCCTAGGGTCATCATCATCATCGACGTTAAAGGCTGTGACAATCGCAGCAGCAGCAACCCCGCTGTTAATCGCAAAACTACTTGAATCTGTTTACACAGATGGCCTGGATACCTGCTCAGTTTTTATACATACTTGCACCCATGCTCACTTTGTAGATAGACTCCAATTTCGTTACATTGAGCGCAGACTTTGACCGGGGACAATGTTCTCTAAACCCACCCGCATGGCATATTGTATGTTTTGCAAACGAATGGAACACAAAATTACGGAGTTGAGCTTCGCGTTAATAATATCGACGTTTGTTTTCGATAGCATACCAGTGGCTAGCCGATCTGGGTTCGTCCGATATTTGATTCTCGCTGCGTGTTCAGTGGTCGAATATTTACAAAACACTTCTTGATTTATGTAAACAACATTTTGACATTATCGATTGTCAGGTCAGTTGAACAGCGTCGAGTAGGTTGCAGGTGATAGTTTATTATGGTACAGACTGTTTCTGTTTGAGCGGCATTTCCATTCAGTAGGACAGAAATGTCGAGATTTCGGAAAATATGTGGTAACCAAGGAGGCCAATGCTCTATTTGAATATTTGTTTTCAGTGAACTGGGGAATCCAACATTGGGGCATGAACTCCAACTCAGGTGTATTAACAAACCCAAAGGTAAGCATTTTTATCCGGAGCCCAGAAGCATAAAATCAAAACTAAGTGGGCCGCGAACCCGTGACCTCCCTGCTGGTATTTTGGACACTTAACCGTTCGGCACCAAGAGGCTGATGAGCAATGGGATCAGCTTGCACTTAGGTTATAGCGACTCTCACCCTTCAGTCACTGGTTCCATGTCAGCGGTCATACATGTTGACTAACCCCTTGAGGGAGACGATTTCTTGGCTGGAGTTTTCACTCGCCGTCCCCAAAGAATTTCTTGGATACTAACTGCTTGTGATTTCCGATACGGATGAAACAGATGCGCAGTGCTTCTTTGTTTCTCAGCATGAAATGTCTTTACTTACGGGAGGAAGTCTCCAGTAGTAGTTACCTATCTCGCTACTCGTAAAAGACTGTGCCGCTGAGTTCCCAGTATGCAAGAAAACTGGGTGAACCTCATAACACAAACGTGGCCTGACACATCCAGTATATCAAAGTAGAATCATGCCAGGCGGTTTATCTAAGGATTGTCTTCCGAACCTCCTCCAACTAGTGACTTCCCAATTGTTTCCTAGAGTATTCCAGTCGATTGGACCACCTAAATTGTCCCTTCTGGCTTGATAACTTACAAATATTTACTCATCTGACAGTACTTCCTGTATTATTCTCACTCTCCTGTCCCATCCTGGTAGTTCGATTTTTTACACCAGTCGGAACAACATTGAACCGATTGCTCTTAGTGGCATGTGATCTGCATGCCAATAGAAAAATTATCCATTGTGACATCATGAACGTTATCGAAACTAACAAATGCTAGGCGCAGCTCTGGAGAGATGAAAGCGATGATTTGGCCGATTCAACAGCTGCAAATTAGGTATTTGCAGTCAGTGCTCAAATCGTCACCAGAACTCTGTGAATCACACTGCATC